AAAATGAACACGCCCTGGATTTTGCACTAATATAAATATAAGCAGCAATTCAAACAACCTTAAAGGGATATATATATATATTTTTTTTTTCACAAAATGAAAAAAATATACCACGATTTACTTACCCTCAAGCCATCCTAGGTGTATAAGACTTTCTTCTTTCAGATGAATGCAATCTGAGTTATATTCAAAAAAGTGTCCTGGCTCTTCCAAGCTTTATAATGGCAGTGAATGGAGGTCGTGATTTTGAAGCCCAAAAAAGTGCATCCATCCATCATAAAAATTGCTCCACATGGCTCCAGGGGTGAATAAAGGCCTTCTGAAGCGTTTGTGTAAGAAAAATATCCATGTTTAAAACTTTATAAACAGTAATCTCTAGCTTCCGCTAACTGTTGACCTCGCGTTCACAACAGAGTGGCGTTCCAGCGGATGACATAGACGTAGCTTGAGCTCCAATGAGAAGTAACGAAGTGCAGAGGAGTGAGCAAAACAAAACACCGGTCACAAATTAGAAGTACAAAACGAGGATTTGTAAAGGAAAATGTCAGAGGATTTCGATATAAGCCAAGAGGAGACTGGTTTTCCTTTGCTTGAAAAAACTTGGTTCTCATGAGATTAGCATATTCTCACGCTACGCCGACGTCCTACGTCATCCGCTGGAACGCCACTCTGTCGTGAACGCATGTATGACAGCTAGTGGAAGCTAGAGATTACGGTTTATAAAGTTTTAAAGTTTTTAATTTTTCTCACACATTCTCATCGGTTCACTTCAGAAGGCCTTTATTAACCCCTCAAAAGCCGTGTGGAGCTGTGGAGCATTGATGGATGCACTTTTTTGGGCTTCAAAATCTCGACCCCCATTCACTGCCATTATAAAGCTTGGAAAAGCCAGGACATTTTTTTAATATAACTCCGATTGTATTCGTCTGAAAGAAGAAAGTCATATACACCTAGGATGGATTGAGGATGAGTTAATCATGGGGTAATTTTAATTTTTGGGTGAACTATCCCTTTAAGGTCAAGATAAGGCAATGTACCCGTTGTGGTAAAAATAAATAAAATTACCAGTAACTACAGCAATCGCTCTTCACTCCGCCAAGTTTAAAATTTATTGACTGCCAAAGTTCTCAAATTTTTCTAGTCATAAATATGACTTTAGAGGCCGTGCATGTCCAATTTCTGATTTGGAAACTATGATCATTCAGACAGCATGTGAAGGCAGCAATAATGAGATGTCTGAGAAACAGGAGATCAAATAATGGGTGATCTTTGAGAAAGGTGTTTGTGTGTTTGTCTATGACTCTGACCTCAGGCCTCCAAATGCCACAGAGATCGTGATCAGCAGAAGTTTGGCTCTGTCAGAGATGTCACCCCCTCAACACCTCCTACCCCTTCGGCTGGGCTGCGGGGGAGAGCGTGAGTGAAATGCAGATGGAGCAAAGCACACACAGAGGGAGAGCGAGAGATAGGCCAATCATGAAACCGTTTCCTTGGTGATGAAGTCTTTAACTCCAAGAGGCGGTTGAGATGAAGTGGCAGGAGCTCTGCTGGAGAGGGCGAGAGTGCCGGCCAGAATCAAACATCCTACACCTAGGTAACACATGCACCGTATCGACGTACAGCCTACGTTTGCTCATACACCACCTACATAAGCTTGTCGCGTCGACTCGCACGCTTCCGTGAGTAACTTTTGTGAGTCACACATCTCACAAATGTTGTCACATTCATCTACACTGAAAAACATTTAAAACATCACAAGCATTTTAAAAATACAAAAAAGAATCTTCTATATAAAATTTCTGACATTCGAGCACGTCAAAATAAATCATCCGTTATTACGTTTCTTTGTATTTTCTTTGCTCTAGATTGCATTAGTGGACTGCGGGAATGACGACAAGTGTGTTGCTAATCTACACCTTAAAGCCACTGCAAACATCTCGAGGTATTATTAATAGCTTTTAATATGAGGTCAGTTAAATCGTCCTATTTGTGTCTTTCTGCTTCATTCTTTGATATTATTATATATGTAAAATGACAATTCAGATAATTATGACATGATCTGAAGTGGCTGTATTATTCGTAGTACATGAGTTTTTGTTTATTCCCATGTATTTTTGTAATTTTCTGTTGTCTGCTGCCCACTTCTGTTGACTTTTGAGAGAATAGGTTCAGCACACGTTCTGTCATCAGCCTCAGATTTGTCTGCAAGACATTACAACAAGATAATAGAAGCGAACTAGAGCACTAGATGCAAATTGACTTTGTCCATCTCCATGTATTTCTGTAGACTTCTCATAAAAAGCAACCAGGAGAAGTTTTATGTCAACATCGACATCCACAACAGCAGAGACAATGCTTACAATACTAAGGTTACACTGAGCCACACGGAAAATATCAACTATGTGAAAGTTGAGGTAGGATTTGTCATCTGTAATGTGGCAAGAAAAACTTTTAGATGGAACAATTCAACGACAAATGCATTCAAAATGGGGGAAAAAGTCATTGCTATTTTCAAAAACAGTTAATATCTGTTGTCACTTTTTTGCAGCCCAAAGATAAAGACTGTGAAACGAATCCTACCAGAATAGTATGTGCAGTTGGATATCCTTTTCTTAAAACTGACAAAAAGGTGAGATTTGCCTCTTACTATTAAATTAACATAATAAAATAACGTGCATTATTATATCTCGTTCTGTTTACACTGTTATCATGTCAATCCAACAGGAAAGCTTCAAAATCCAGTTCGAGCCCAATCCCTTTCATATTCGTAAGGACATTGTGATCAATGTTACTGCAACCACGTAAGAATTACGCCCATGACTACTCACTAATTAAATCCACTTTTTACTGTGTTTGACTCAATTAAACAGAGAATAATATGGAAGCCCATTTTATTTATAAGTTTCCATAGAATAGGGGCACAGTATTTTGATATATAATTATTATTTTGACTGCAGTGATAGTGAGGAGTCGGATTCAAACTTGAGAGACAACTTTGTGAGCATCGTCATCCCTGTGCAGCACGAAGCCAACCTGAGATTCAGTGCGTAAGTGGCTTTTTAAACCAACCAATCAGCTTTGCCAAAATAAGCATCTGAGCAGAACTGAACTAAGCAGTAATGTTAATGCACTGACAGATGAGATTATTCAGTTTGCCATTTCATTCTGTACACTCTTAAAAATAAAGGTGCTTAAAAGTTTCCTCACAGCAATGTCATCGAAGAACCATTTTTGGTTCCACAAAGAACCGTTGAGTCAAAATATATCTCAAATGTACTCTATATTTAACACATATAAAGTAATTTGCATAGTGAAATGTAATTAAATGTCATAATATGTTCAAATGATATATACACCAGGACTGCTGATCAGAGCATAAATATGTTTTTATCCTAGAAACAAGTATATGAAGCAGGACCACATCATATTTAAAGAGAAGGAGACGATACCCAGCGTTTTCAACCACACTAGTGTGATCGGGGATGAGGTGAAAATCAGCTACACGGTAAGACTCAAAATGTCTGGAGTTTGAATCACTCCTTTCAGGGCATCATGTGAACACAATGAGGAACTTTTAAAGAGAACTATGTGTATGTCATAGCAGTTAAAATGGTAAAAATGACTAAACTAAGATACTGCATGGCTGAGGAGTCATCTTGGAGTCAAATGGAGTCTGATGCCAATGTCAGATTGTCATTGGGAGTTGTTATGATCCAGATTCACTTAAACTGGTTTGAGTGTGAATGCTCTGTTGATGATAAATTTCTGATTGATTTCCCTTTGTGCTCAACAGATTGAGAGGGATCCTGAAATGCAGAGTCCTCCACTGCTGCTCAAGATAATGTTTCCATATCAAACGTCTGTCAAAAACTTTCTGCTGTACTTGACAGATGTCAGCCACACAACGGTAGGTGCTCCGATTCCTTAAAGCTATTTGTGGCGCTGACTACAGCACGTGACTTGCTCAGAAATATCTCAACTCCCTCATTTCATTCTTACAGGGCATCAGCTGTGATGCCAGCAGACTGATTAACCCTTTAGGCATCAAGCCTGACAAGCCTTATACATTGAATCCTAAAAAAGAGACCTTAAGTGTATATCTTTTGGTGAGTAAGCAGGGCTTTTCTCATGAATATGTGAAATGGATATCTGATGGTAAGTGTTCTTCTCATATCATTTTTCGTTCTTTCAGAGTTGCAAAGAAGAAGGAAATCCCTGTGAGTCGTTTAGCTGCTCCATCCCACCTGGAGACTTCAAGCAGATCAACACCACTTTCAGAGTGTGGCGACCCACCTTCATCAAAGTACGCCCTTCATCTTCTCATTTACTTTCACAGTTCTGCTGCGTGTGATCTGTCAGTATGCTGTAGTAATAGTAATAATTCATCTATAGGGAGAATTTTCCAACATTCACATGGCAGTCGATGCCAAGCTGGAGAGCAAGGACACGGGCCTGTTTGTGTTAAATGACAACGTCAAGATCAGAGAGGTATGAAAATGAACACGCCCTGGATTTTGCACTAATATAAATATAAGCAGCAATTCAAACAACCTTAAAGGGATATATATATATATTTTTTTTTTCACAAAATGAAAAAAATATACCACGATTTACTTACCCTCAAGCCATCCTAGGTGTATAAGACTTTCTTCTTTCAGATGAATGCAATCTGAGTTATATTCAAAAAAGTGTCCTGGCTCTTCCAAGCTTTATAATGGCAGTGAATGGAGGTCGTGATTTTGAAGCCCAAAAAAGTGCATCCATCCATCATAAAAATTGCTCCCCACGGCTCCAGGGGTGAATAAAGGCCTTCTGAAGCGTTTGTGTAAGAAAAATATCCATGTTTAAAACTTTATAAACAGTAATCTCTAGCTTCCGCTAACTGTTGACCTCGCGTTCACAACAGAGTGGCGTTCCAGCGGATGACATAGACGTAGCTTGAGCTCCAATGAGAAGTAACGAAGTGCAGAGGAGTGAGCAAAACAAAACACCGGTCACAAATTAGAAGTACAAAACGAGGATTTGTAAAGGAAAATGTCAGAGGATTTCGATATAAGCCAAGAGGAGACTGGTTTTCCTTTGCTTGAAAAAACTTGGTTCTCATGAGATTAGCATATTCTCACGCTACGCCGACGTCCTACGTCATCCGCTGGAACGCCACTCTGTCGTGAACGCATGTATGACAGCGAGTGGAAGCTAGAGATTACGGTTTATAAAGTTTTTAATATGGATA